GATGATAAAATCATTAAAATACCGAATATTGGGAGGTATCGTTATGTGGGGGCCATACGAAGACGTGGACCTGCATAGAAAATTTTCTGTCATAGGCTGTAGTATCCAACACGAACTTCGAATACCAAATTTGAAACAATTCCTGTTAATAATGTCGCTAAAATCATCAAAATACCGAATATAGGGAGGTACCGTTATATAGGGGCTATACGAAGACGTAGACCTGACCAGTAAATTTTCTGTCTTAGGCTGTAATATCCCTTTGGAACTTAAAATATCAAATTTGAAACAATTTCGGTAAAGAATGTCGCTAAAATCATCAAAATACCTAATATCGGGAGGTATCGTTTTATCGGGGCAATACGAAGACGTTAACCTACATATCCCATTTACGAACTTAACCTGCCTACTGGAAAAATAAACATGTGTGCAAAATTTTAGCCTTCTATCTAAATTCGTTCGAAATATAGCATGATTACAACAGACAGACAAGCAGACGGACAGACAGACGGACATCGCTAAATAAACTTAGAATTTTACGCTGATCAAGAATATATATACATGGTATACTTTTATACCCTCCATAGTATGGTGGAGGGTATAAAAATATTACGTTATATGCAGTTTCGTCTATATCGAATACTAACATTTGGAACTTTTCCATAAAAGCGTTACAAGAAATTATAGACTGATGAGTCTGGCCGATAGTGTCCAGTTTCTCGCCAGACTTTAGCTACGTTTAAAGATTTCGATATTGGGATAAATAAGTTTTTTTTAGAAAATTTTATAATTCACATCATTCCAATTCTGCCATTCACGATTCAATCAAGTGAGGACCCCACGAGTTGAATAGTCCAAAGCTTACATTCAAATGGTCATTGAATCCTCAGTATAATGGCTAAGTAGGGTATATATCATTTAATACGACCAAAATATGCCTCATCGTTATTACGATTTAAGACGAATTCTGTTACAGAACATTTGTAGTCGATCTACACTGTTCGTCTGCCTGATTGGCCAACTGGAGCGCATGATAACTTTCGAAAAGAGTATCCGATTTGGTCCAACCTTGGTAAACATAAACTTTTCATTAGACTCTCTTCGAGTTTGAAAGTGGACAATATATCTTCATTCCTGTCCCATACAACTTCAAACGTTAAAAAAATTAACTAAATCTATAAAGGAGGACAATTTTTGTACGTTTGATTGTTTGTAATTTATAGACTCAAAAACTGCTAAGCTGATTTTCCTGAACATTTCCATATATACTACAGCACCATATATATATATAAATTTTTAAAATTCCACTTGGAACTGGAGATATAGCATCAGAAACGGAGGTACCTCCAGAAGATTTAGGTTTTGAATTCAAATATCTATTGATCGGTTACACATGCAGTCTCCAGATTTAAAATGTGTGACGGAAATCGGTACAAAAATAAATTTGCTAAATTATATTGACATCGGTTCAGATTTGAAATTACCTCCCATATATATACCCGCCCGATCACGTCCGATTCCAATGAAATTTGGAATGAGCGACGGAATTTAGTACAAAAATAAATTTGTCTAATTATATTGAAATCGGTTCAGATTTGGATATAGCTGCCATATATTTTCGACCGATTTCGTGTATTTGCTGCACCAAACACAATATGTATGATTGATTCCAATGAAATTTGGAATAAGAGACGAAATTTTGTCAGATTATATTGTAATCTGCTGACGTTTGGATATAGCTCACATATATTTTTTCGGTCGATTTTATATATTGGATGTACCAAACACGCTATATATCGCTAATTTCAATGAAATCTGGAAACAAATTTCTAAAATTATTTGAAATCGGTTCAGAATTGGATATAGTTCCTACAACTATGCATATTTAGTAAGGGTAGCGTAATAAGTAAAGATTTATATTGGGAACTTGCGAAGTAGATTATATAAACTATGATCGTTTCCTTTGAATTAATCCCTGCTTTTGGGGATCTTACCTTACTAGGCCCCGTAGCACCAAGGAGTGTTCCTATATTGTGCAGTAACTATTCATTGATAAAACAAAGTGCCAAATAACAAGTAGTATCAGTTGGTTTTGCCGACAGATGTATACTCCCAGCCTTTCGCTATGATTATTCAAATCCTTGACCCTTTATGGGGAGAGTTCCGAAGAAGTGGACAAATATTGTCAATTTCGCATCTGACTTAAGTCTGATATAAATTTTGCAACGTACCGAATTTGGACTGTTCTTGGAAATTTTTAAAATGTTATTGGAAATTGGAATTTTTTTAAATTTCGATCGCGTGATCAAAGTATTCCACTTTATCTAGTACTATTAAAAATATTGGTATATGCAAAAATGAAATAATATCTTAAATGTTCTACATTTGTGGGGAAGGTACTACAATGAGTAGGTCCATAGATTAATTATTCACATCAGATCGCTGGTTAAAATATATTTAGATATACCAAATTTAAAAGAATCACTGTCTTGTTTCACAAGTTATGAGATATATAAATATTGACAATTGTGTCCCTTTGTGGGTGAGATACCAGAAGGGGTGGCCCGATATTTATTCGCATGGAATGTGCGAAGTTCAGTATGAATCAGATGCTTATTTAGCTTATTATGATAATTACTAATAATTTTTTATCAGTTTTAGGTCAGGTGTGAAAAGAGAATATATCGACCCACTCCATTAGGTACATTTCCCACAAAGGGTAAAAATTTTGAGTGATTATAACTATATAAAATGGGATGTAAGAGTCCGATTTCCTTCAAATTATACACAGCCTAATATTTTTATTAACTCAAGGTGTGAAGATGGAATAAATCGGCCTACTCCTTCTGGTACCTCCCCCACAAAGGGTCAACATTTTGAATACCCTTGAAGCGCATAAAACGCGAAATTGACATCCGATTAGACTTGGCACTTCTGAATATTTCTATCAATACAAGATCCGTTATAAATATGGTATGCTGTGAAGATGGGATATTCCGGTCCACGCCTTTTGGTACCTCCCTCGCAAAGGGTCAAAATTTAGAATATCCAGAAAGCTCATAAAACGCGAAATTGACATCCGATTCCATTCAGATTTGGTACATCTCAATATTTCTATCAACACAAGATCTGTTATATGTAGAGATCGGATCATTACTTCTGGTACCTCCCCCACAATGGGTCAAATTTTTGAATAACCAAAACGATTATAAATAATAAATAAACATCCGGTTCTTTTCATATTTCACACATCCCATTATTTCTATTAACACAAGATCTGCTGTAAAGATGGAATATACCGGTTCACTCCTTTTGATACCTCTCCTACAAAGGGTCAATATCAATGAAGCTCATAAAACGCGAAATTAACATCCGATTCCATTCAGACTTGGTATATCTCAATATTTCCGTCAACACAAGTTATAAAGATTGAATAATCATGAGTCAAAATATAATTAAATAATCGAACATTGGCTAAGGGTATGCATCTGTCGGCAAAACCGACTTATTTTTTCTAATTTGTCTTTTAAAAAAATTTTAACTTTTTGTGGGGGAGATACCAGAAGGAGTAGACCGATATTGGCCATCTCCGAACTCGACCTTAGTTCGATAATAATATTACGATGTACCAAGTTTGGACCAATTTGGATATTCCATTCGAGAGTTATTGTGCGCACCAGCCAACCAGACAGATGGATGGACACCCCAAGATCGACTCCAAATGTTACTTTTCAAGTAACTCAAAACTGGATTTGAATTTGAATTGAAATAAAACATTGAATGTAATTTTGATAATTTTCCAATGTATGATCACAGTATATAAATGACAGAATGCCACGTTGAATTAATATTTGTTTTTGAGGACATCACCCCACTTTCTAGCGTGATTAAACTCCTTTAATGGTGTTGGTATTAAAAGATCGCCGTGCCGAACTTAACTGTTTCTTTATTTGTTTAAGTGTGTCAATGATTCTCATCCAGTTCACCCAATACTGGATTAAGTAAATTCCTATTTATATTAGAAATGTTTGCCTTATCAAGGGAAGGTCATTTGTTAATGGGTATTTGAGCTCCTTAACCAAGGGTGATATGTGTCGCATATTGGTTGGATGCGTTGGCCTTTGCAAGGTTTTTTTATTGGGATTAATAGCTCAACTGGAAAGAGATATTATCCTAAATTCCTCCTTCGTTTCAAATCTGACTCCGAATTCAAGCTTTAGATTCCCAAAATTTGCTGCATCTCTCCCGGATTAAATAAAAACACTTCAAGATATTCTTTTAGTTTTTTTTCTGCAACTTTATTTGCTTTTGTCACTTGTCTTGTTTTCTTTCTTTTATCAATGGTTTCTTTTTTCTTCATCATCTTCGCCATCAATTAAACATAACTTAAATTATAAATAAATTCACAAAATACTAAAAAAAAGAAACACAATTGAAATCAAAATAAGACAAAAAAAGCTCAATAATAAAAATCATGAAATCATATTTATAAATAATTACATTACAATTACAAAAAAAAAATATTTAATAATAAAATGGCTTAAATAATACTAGCACAATTGTGGAAACAATGCGAAAAAAAAATCTACAAAGAAATGCAAGTGTTTTCTTTTGTTTTCAAGTAATTTCAAGAGAAGAGTGCGTATACCAAAGGAGACAAGGGAGGGGAAGGGATTTTTGGATGGTTGAAAGGTATGCAAAGTGTAAAGAGTAAGAGGATAAGGCCACGAGTTGTTGGTATGGAAACGGAAATTCCCATAGGCGGGAAGTGATGCACACATGGCAATGAAGGTGGCGAGAAAAGTCATTGTGAAATTTTTTAATAAATATTCTTTGGTATGTTTAGCTGTGTATGTTTGTTTGTTTGAGTCTGTAAACATAAGGGTGTTGATTCTCGAAATTATTTAAAAAAAATTTAGCACTTTTGATTTCGTTTGTTGTCTTTTTTATTTCAATTTTTTTTGGTGTAATATGTAATTTGTTGTTTTTTTTTTTAATAAAATATAAATTAAAAGAAAAACAAATAAAATGTTTAATAAAAATAATTAGAAATAAAAATTAAAAAAAACTAAATATTTTTGTAATAACTTTTCTAAAATAAAATATAATATTTTAATTTTTAATAAAAAAATAACTAAAATTTAAATCAAAAGTCTTCCAATTTGTTTGCTTGTTTGTTTTTGTCTAAAAATTAAAAATTCTATACAGCCTTAAATTATTATTTGTTAATTAAAAACTAGTTAATGGCTAGGGGTTTTGGGGGAGGGAGGGATGGATTGGTTTGTTTGTTTTGCATTCTTAAAAAAAAATATAATATTTTTTTTGTTAATTTTACACTTAAATTCTTTTTAGATAATTAGTTTGTATATAAATAAATTGACTTCCATATATGTATGTATTTATGTATATATATAATTTGTGTTTGTTTGTTTGTTTTGGATTTCTAGTTTCTCTTCTTTTTTTTTGCATGTGGGTTGGTGGGGTAAATTCTTAAAGAGGATTGGTTGTTTTCCATTGTTTTGTTGGTGGTCTAAACTTTGGCTTTAAACAAAAAACTTGGCAGCACTTCTTTAATTCCATGTTTCTCTAACAACTGCTGCTCACTTCCATTTTAATCATTGTTGGTGGCTGACTACTTGGCCCCGTGGACATGGAATGATCCTCATGACGACTCTCACGATGACGTCTCAAATCGACCTTACGTTGGAAGGCCTGATCGCAGAGACCACAGCCGAAGGGCTTGTAGCCGGTGTGTTTACGCATGTGGGTAATAAGATTGGAACTTTGGCTGAAAGCTTTAAAGCACACCGTGCATTTGTGGGGTTTTTCACCTAAAAAGAAACGATAAAAGGAAATGGGAGATTAATAATCAAATATTTAAAAGAAAAATTTAAATTTATAATAACTTATTAATTTAGCTGATATTTTTGGGATTTAAAATATTTTTGGAAACTCAATATTGTGAACTTAATACTATGTGAAAAAAACTCAAAATGTCAAAATGTGGCGGAATTAAAGGAAAATATGACTTAAACCTATGTTGAATTGCTTCGGGGGCTACAAGAAGGGTTTCTACGTAATTTAAATTAGAAATGTCAAAATGTGGTGGAATTAAAGGTAAATATGACTAAAACATAAAACTATACTTGAAATCGGGGTTTACCTTTATAATGGGGCTACACCAAAAGTGAATTCCACTTTGAAACTAATGATGTTTAGAATAATCTAAAACTTTATATTTTATTTATATTTTAAGCGTCAAACGGACGGACATCGCTAGATTGACTCCAAATGTCCTGAAACGGATTTGGTCCAAAGAAACCCTAAACCCGTTATTCCGATGAGGCACGTTTTGGCCGTGGCCGAAATATAGCTCAAAATACGAAGTCCCTGGTCAAGGCTACATAAAGGCCTTAAAAAGTTTATCTTAAGAGCCCAAACAACTTTTGATCTACAAACCGAACACTACCACATACAGTTTGACTGATGCACCTTAAAATTTTAAGGATATTTTGGGCGAAAAATGCAAATTTTGACGAAAATAAAAAAAGTGTTTTTTTTTTTTTTTTGGTTTTTTAGATTAAATTGATGATATTTTTGTATGGTTCATATTAATTGTACACATTTCTTTTGTTCAGAGACTCATAGTGGAATTTGATCTAGAATATTTCTTCCTTTAACATTTTCGCCAAAAAATTGAGTTTTAATGAAAATTTTGGCTCAAATTGGAAACGTAAAAAATTAATAGACTAAAACGTAAACATATAGTTTTCAATTTTAATATAAATTTCGAATGTAATTTTCTTACAAACTATAACATCTAGATATATGGTTTATTCTGAAACTTGTAGTGAAATTTGGTGTAGAATAGTTCTACTTTTGAGAATTTTATTCTAAAAAGAAGTTCTATGTTACTTTCATGCACCAACTCGAAAAGAGATCGAACAAAATATCCATGAAGAACTAGAAAATAATTTCGCGATTTTTTTTGGTAAAATTACAATAACTATTTTCTTGATATCTAATGGAAGTAAAGATATCTTTTCTGTGATGACTTATAATGAAATTTGATCTAGAATATTTCTTTCTTGGACACTTAGCCCAAATATTGAAATATTAAGGAAGAATTTGGCTTATATTGGAAACATGTTATATTGGCAGTAAAAAACGTAAACACACAATTTTATTTCGTGATATATAATTTTCGAATGGATTTTGCTTATCAACTATTATACCTAGATGTATAGTTTACTTTCAGACTTATAGTGAAATTTGGTGTAGAATATTTTCTCTTTTGAAATTTTATGCCTAAAATGAAATTTTATATTACTTTCATGCATGAACTCGAAAAAGGAGCCAAGGAAAAATTGATGATATAAATTAGGAAATATTTTGCCTTTTTTGGAAAATTGAAACAAGTATTTATTGTTTTAATAATGGAAATACAGATTTAATTCCTTTGGTGACTCATAGTGAAATTTAGTGTAGAATATTTCTTCTTTTGAAAATTTTTGTCTAAAATCAAGTTTTGTGTAACTTTCATGCATCAACTCGAAAAGAGTTTAAAGAAAAATCCATTAAAAATTATATATTTTCGCGTTTTTTTGGCAACTTAAAATAACTTTTTTTAATTTTCAATGGAAATAGAGTTTTTTTGTCTTTGGTAACTTCTCGTGAAATTTGATGAAGAATATTTTTATCTTTAACATTATTCTGCTAAAATTATGTTTTCTTGGAGAATTTTGAATAAATTCAAATGAAGAACGAGTTTAACCCCAAAATGTGTGTTTGATTTTTATGAATCCATTGCGTTTAGGTAAGATTTAGAACATTGATGTATTCTTGGACCTATAGTAGAGCCTTGTGACAAATAATTTTGTGGAATATTTTGACTTGCTATGATCCCGTTTAAATGGATTTTTTAAGTATTTTTTGAAAAAAAGGATCAAAACGACCCCTTTATTTCTCTTGCTTGAGGGTCAAAATTTCGACAAAAACAATCCTTATATTCTTATCAGTAATATTTCCAAAGATATGTCTAAAATGCAACGATTCCAAGGAATCATAATCCTCCGACATTTTCAAAAATAAATGGTAAGAGTGGAAATCTGTTTTCTCTTTATAGTTTACTTGGCGATGTAAACTTTCGAAACGCGCGCTACACGTGTCTTCTATTTTTGGCCCTATCTTTATAATCTACTGCGATTTTTCTGTTACAGAATAATATAAAATTATAGAGATTTTTTGACACAAAAACCCTAAAATCTAACCCCTAGATTTTTTTTTGAAAAATATTTTGAATTGTTAAAATCCAATTTTTTTGGAAAAAATGCTTTTTAGCTGAAATTTTTATAAAAATTTTGTAATATAATGTAATGTATAAATTTTTAATAAATATTGAAAATTGTGAATAAGAAAATGTTTAAATTTCGTATTCATCTAATCTAACCTAATTTATTCAGAATAAACTTTGGAAATCAACTTACCAGTATGTATATATGTGTGCTTCTTCATGTCGGATTTTTGATGGAAACGTTTGCCGCAATACTGACAAGGATATGGCCGGGTATCGCTGTGTATCAGCAAATGGGTGGTTAATGTTGAGGAACGTTTGAAGGCCTTGCCGCACTGCTTACACTACAAGAGAGAGAGAAAGAGAAAACAATAAATTAGTTAAAAATATTTTTTATAAACATTTCTTTGATGATTTAATCTACAATACGAAAAAAGAAATCACAATGACGCCAACAAATTTCCATTGTTTGGCCAAGTGTTTCGAAGACACACAAAAATAAACTTTTAGCCAATCAAAGTTAATCAAAGTAGCTATTTTTTTATTTTTGCAAAACAAATTCATTTGCAAAATCTTTTGTTTGTCAGGAATAAATAGAAATGTTGTGTTCTCTTTTTTGTTTGAGAATGTTCTTGGAAAGAACGAAATTCTGAAAATCTTTGCCAGACGAAGAGGTGTAAACAAGTGTTTAATAATAAAAAAATATTTTGTTATAAAAAATGTTGCTAAGGATTTGTATTTTGAGACAGAAAAAAAGAAAAGAACAAAATAAATGCTTTTCAAATACAGCTGAATTGACTGAAAGAAAATTGTTATTTTTTTCATTCTAAGAAAATACAATAAACCTCAAGAGGAGAAAAACACAGCTTATGACATTAAAATCTTGTTGGGTGCATCAGGCTCCGCTTTTCATTTATTTAATCATCTCCCAATATTGACACAGTTTGCCCCGGTGTTGGGTGTAACATTTAAGCCCGGTCTGGCGGCCAGCAATTCAATCATTTTTTACATTTTATTTATTAGCTGAATTTGTTTTCCCTGATCTATTGTTTATTCGCTGTGTGTGTGCATGTGTGTGAGTGTACGTGTTATACATAAATAACATGGATGACTCTGTCTTGGGGCCCCTGTCCATCATTGGCGGTTGTAATGCTGATGACACAAGTGTTTCGTAGATGATTTTCTATTTGCCATTCAAAGTGGAGAAAATTCAGTTTTTGTTTGACGACTCTTTTGATTGATGTCAAGACAACGAAACGATGTTGCTGTTGTTGACAACAACAGCTCAGTAATGAGCTGATATTTTTTTGACATGATTCCAGTCAAAGAGCCATAGAATCAATATCGTATGATTTTTTAATGAGTACTGAAAAATTGTCTTTTGTAACTCTTTGTTGGGAGGGGTTTTGGGAGACAAAAAAACGGAAGTATTGTTTGTTGAATTTGCGTAAACTTAACGGATATACTGTGTCACGAGTTCAAAGGCATAGGTATTATTTACCTAGCTGAATAGTTCTTGGAATAGAGTAGCTTTTTTATTATAGTAAATTTGCTATTTTGTTGAGGTAAAGTTAAATTCAGTTGGCTATTTGTCATAAATGTGAAAATCACCTGGCTGAATAAGAAAAAAATGGACAAGGGTCCCCATAATATTTAGATTTTCTTTTTTGAGTTTTGGATTTGAAAGGTTAACCTAGCAAAAAAACTTAATTTGAAAGTTAGAAAAATTAGAAAATAAAATTTCTTTAAAAAAACTGACTGAATTGACAAAAAAATCTTCGGTCATTTGGCTGAGTTGTTGTTAAAGTAGTAGAATCTCACAATTTATGTTTTTAAGAAAAATAATTGAAATGAATATCCAATTCATGCAAACCTGTTCAATAGCCAGTCTGAGAAAAATCCCTCAAATTTTGTTGTTGCAAAATGGTCAAATTATGAAAATAGAGCTTAAAATAGAAGTCACATGTATTGGTATTTTGAAATATTTACATCATGAAGTGACTTAAAAAGAGGAGGCAAGTTACACGTCCCAACCATTGCGCAATTTTTTTTTTTTAAATTTTCGGATTAAGTTTTTTTTGTGGAATCCTTGCATTTTATGTACGTAATTCCCATTTTTCGCAGTAATATTGCTGAAGATATTACTGCCAGCAATACGAAGATTATTTTAATTGAACATTTTTACTCTCAAGTGGCCCTTTTTGGCTCTTTTTTTCAAAATATGGATAAAAACTCCCTTTAAATTGCAACGTAGAAAGTCAACATATTCTACAAATATATTTTCCATCAAATTCTACTATAGGTCCTAGAATACATCAAACACCTAACTCTTATCTAAACACCAGGAATTCATAAATATTAAAAAACTTGTGCAGAATTCTCCTATTAAGCGTCATTCTAGAAGGATGACATCAAAGAAAAAAGTATTCGTCATCGAATTTCCTTAAAAGTCACTACAGAAATGAAATCTCTACCTCCATTATTACAATAAGAAAATATTTATTTCAATTTTGCAAAAATTAAAAAAAAACGTCAAAATATTTCCACATTTTTTGCCCTTTTTTGAGTCGATGCCTGAAAGTAACATAAAACTTCGTTTTAGACAAAAATTGTCAAGAGAGAAAATAGTCTGCACCAAATTACAATAAAAGTCTCAAAATGAACTATATTTCTAGGTATAATACTTTTTAAGAAAATTGCGCTCGAAATGTAGTTATTAAAAGATGAAATTATATGTTTACGTTTTTGGCTGTTATTGTTATACCTTCCTAGTTTTGAGTCAAAATCTGCCATAATTCTTAATTTTTTTAGAAAAGTTTTAAAGATAAACTTTTTCTTTATCGAATTTCACTATAGGTCACCAAAGAAAAGAAATCTCCATCTTCATTATTACGAAAAGAAAACATTGTTTCAATTTCGCAAAAAAAAAAAAAAAACGTGAAAGTATTTCTTAGTTCTTTTTTATTGATTTTTTACAGTCGTTTTCGATTTGATGTATGAAAGTAAAATAAAACTTCGTTTTAGACAAAAAATGTCAAGAAAGAAAATAATCTACACCAAATTTCACTAAAAGTTTCAAAATTAACTATTTATCTAGGTCATATAGTTTTTAAGAAAATTACATTCGAACTTTACATATTTTAAGTGAAAATAATGTGTTTATGTTACTTACTGCCAATTTAGCAGGTTTCCATTCTAAGTCAAAATCTCAAAGGAAGAAATTTTTTGGATCAAATTTCACTATGAGTCACCACAGAAAAGAAATCTCTATATCAACTATAAATCAACAAAATATGTGTTTCAACTTGTAAAAAAATTAAAAATATTTTCTATTTTTTCAAGAATTTTTTTCTTCGCTCTTTTTTCAAGATGATGCATGAAACTAACATAAAATGTCGTTTTAGGCAGAAAGGGTCAGAAGAAGATATGTTCTATACAAAATTTTACTATAAATCTCAGAATAAACCATATCACTAGGTTTAATAGTTTTTAAGAAAATTACATTCGAACTTTACATATTTCAAGTGAAAATTATGTGTTTACGGTTTTACTGCTAATTTAACACGGTTTCTTTCCATGTGAAAATCTCCCTTAATACTTCAATTTTTGGGGGAAAATGTAACAGGAAGAAATTTTCTAGATCAAATTTCATTATGAGTCACCACAGAAAAGAAAACTCTATTTCTACTATATATCACGAAAATATTTACATCAATGTTGACAAAAAATCATGGAAAATATTTTCAATTTTTTTTATAAAATGTCTTTGATCTCTTTTCGAGTTGATGTATGAAAGTCACATTGAACTTCATTTTAGACAAAAAATGTCAACAAAAGAAATATTCTACACAAAATTTCACTATAAATCTCAGAATAAACAATATATCTAGATCTAATAGTTTTTAAGAAAATAACATTCCAAATGTATGTATGAGACAAGTGAAAATTATGTGTTTAGGATTTTTGCTGTTAATTTAACAAGTTTCCAGTCTAAGTCAAAATTTCCTTTAATACTTCAGTTTTTGGGGAAAATGTCAATGGAAGAAATATTCTCCATCAAATTTCGTTATGAGTCTCTGAACACAAGAAATTCGTAAACTTAATATGTAACATAAAAATTCAACCATCAATTTTGATTCATGGGAAATATTTCTTTTTAAGAATAAACAAGTAAAAAACATTAAGTTCGGCCGGGCCAAACTTTTAATACCCTCCACCTTAGGGTAAAGGAAACATTAGAAGAAATGTGGCAAAGCCATTAAAATGCCGAATATCGGGAGGTACCGTTATATGTGGGCTCTACCAAATCGTGGACCTACACATGCAAGGTTCCGCCAACGGAGCTAGAACCCATTATGACCTACAAATACCAATTTTCAGACAAATACGTGAAAAAAAGGGGCAAAAATCATCAAATTACCGAATATCGGGAGGTACCGTTATATGGGGGCTATACTAAAACGTGGACCTATAATTACAATGACTCGCCACACGAACTGGGACCCATTATGATCTACAACTACCAAATTTTCAGTGAAATTCGTGAAAAAATCAGTCAAAAATCATCAAAATACCGAATATTGGGAGCTACCGTTATATGGGGACTATACCAAAACGTGGACCTATACATACAATGTTTCGCCACACGAACTAGGACCCATTATGACTCACAAATACCAATTTTTACACAAATCAGTGAAAAAATTTTGCAAAAACCATCAAAATACCGAATATCGGGAGGTACCGTTATATGGGGGCTATACCAAATCATGGACCCATACATGCAATGTTTCGCCACCGGAGCTGGAACTCATTATGACCAACAAATACCAATTTTTAGACAAATCCGTTAAAAACTGTGACAAAAATAAGCAAAATATGGAATATCGGGAGGTACCATTATATGAAGGCTATACCAAAACGTGGACCTATACATGCTATGTTTTGCCACACATACAGGGACCCGTTATGACCTACAAATACCAATTTTCAGACAAATCCGTTAAATAATGTGGCATAAATCATCAAAATACCGAATATCGGGAGGTACCGTCATATGGGGACTATACCAGAACGTGGACCGATATATCTTATTTTCAATACCAACCATCCTAGACACAATACCAATTGCTCTGCTAAATTTTGGCGCTCTACGTCAAATAATGTGGGCTGTATCGTGATTTCAACAGACAGACAGACGGACAGACAGACAGACAGACAGACAGACAGACAGACGGACAGACAGACAGACAGACAGACGGACATCGTTAAATCGACTTAGAATTTTATGCTGATTATGAATATATATACTTTATGGGGTCTACGACGAATATTTAAGGATGTT